TTGTCGTGTTCTCAATGTACAATAATGTTCCTTGGACTTCAGGACTAAATACTGGAAGACTCTACTCTTTGGTGTCTGGAATTTAATCCTTAGGTTTTGAATTTTTCAATTAGAATGGTAGTTTCTATCACACTAGTCTCCTTCCGAGAGGAGAGTCAGATTATTTTGGAACAACAGCACCACCTAGTGGTCACTATGCTAACACAAGCTGAAAGATGTCTGATGAGTCGCTCTTGCAAGGTTTCTGTGATTCAGGGGAATGTCTGGCCGTACTCACACTGTGGCTGCGGCCCCAGAGGCAGCTGGGATCTGTTAACAGAAAGATGTTGTATAAGACATGGGGGGAATTCTCCTGAGAACTCACAATGTTCTTATTACGAGTCTACTTTCTGTATAAACTCTGCCACCAAAGATTTCATTGGGTTTGTGCTCAAATTGTAATGTGGTGAAGGGAGGATAAAATGGCTTTGCACTGCAACAGGGTTTCAGAAACATTCTCCAACCTAAGATGAAAAATACTTTGAACTGATTAACATCAGGGAAGAGAGAAAAACAAGAGTTTGTCCAAATGTACCTTAATGGTAACCTGGACACTGATCCCTGGTTCACAGATGCATGAAGCCAACCGAAAAAAAAAATCTTATTTTGTGTATTTGTTTCATGTGGCAAACATCGTAGTAGAAGCAGGGCACAGAAGGGAGGAGGCGAGGAGTCTGGAGGGGTGGGAGCGCATCTCTTACCTCCACAGCGTCCCCCAGGAGGGCCTGGGCGGCGGCCTGCTCTGCCTCGCGCAGGGGCTGCACCTCCACGTCGGCGCTCTTCTGCAGCTGCTCCACCAGCTGCACTGTGGTGCTGAGGTGAGCTCTGATGGCCTCCATTGACTGCTGCTGCTGTTTGGCGATCTCCTCCATCTGCCCGCAGAGGGCTTTGTGCCGGGCCTTGACTGCAGACAGCTTCTCCAGCAGCTTCACAGGGTTGTCCTGCAAACATCCACAGCCTGGCTCAGCCACGAACTCGCCCACCCCTGCGTCTCGAGCGGCCGGTGAGGCACCTTCAGGTCTGTGCGGCCAGTCATGCTTGTTACACTCTGCTGTGTAATGACAACTACGTGAGCCCTAATCCCCTTTAGACAGGGTCAGACCAAAGAACAGTGAAACGCCACACACCTACAGTACACAGGGCAAAGAAGCAGCAGCTCAAGAATGCATTTCTACTGTATGTGTTGTAGTAAATATGTACCATCTGGAAAAGGCTTTTCAAAGGTTATTTTTCTACATTTCTAAGAGTAAAAAAAAGATTTGGTTTTCACAGTCCAATCACTTGCTCTTTAAGTAAAGACAGTGGATGTGGTTCAGTGGTGCACATGATTTGCCTGTGTTAGCTGCTATTTAAAGAATATGAATGGAGCCCATGTGTTGCAGTTGACTGAGACTGACAGACTCCTCTATTTCTCCCATCATGTACCTCAGCGGCTCCACTTTCTGCCATTTTAGTCATGAACTCAAACTTCAGCTGTTTCTCCAGGTATCCCAGGTCAGACTCTGCCTTCTGGAACTGAAAAGGAGGAAAAAATGTTCACTCAAGCACGGTACAACACTACTGAAGATAAAACAGAGATCCCTCAGCCTCACTGCATTTTATCCCATTTCATCTGAATTCTAGTGCTGGGGAACCTGCGGGTATCAATTGTCCTTTATTGCAAATTGTATAAAAACAGAAGTTAGTGTAATAGTCAAGTCAAAGAGCCCCTTTAAATACAACTACGAAACATCTGCATTCTTTTTATGTAAAAAAATGCAATTTTACCCCTTACAGATTTAATAATCGATTAAAGCTGCCTTCAACATAAAAAGCACATTTGACCAGCCCTCTTACAAATACCAGTTCATGACCAAGTATGAAACTACTTGTACTTTTGTGAACTCCAAAATGAGAAGTTGGCAGTGTGACCTTTTGATTAAGGAACCTAACAGAAAGGACATGATAATTAGCAGAAGTTATTCACACAAACCCAGGGTTTGATAAATACGCCCAGTCTTCAAATTCAGAGTATGAGGAGCTATTGTTTAAACAGGCTTAAATATATTGCATTAAGATTTCCATTTCTTCACACAACCTAATCCAATTCAACCCCTCTACCTCTGATGCACATGTAGGGCTGTATGTGACCATGGACAGTTTTATGCATGAAGCAGAACACACTCTTCACCTGTGGCCAAGGCAGGCAGGCTTCCTTAGTAAAGAACACAACCCAACTAACTGGTTTATTAAATGTTCTCCCCAGCTCCAGCTTTCACAGAGGCTGCAGACACACGGCCACTGGGAGAGCAGGGCAGCACTTGGGCACTGCACCCTGATCACAGTACCGACAAGCCTCCAGGACTCAGGACTGACCAGGTGTGCTTTCAGACCGTGTCGCTGTGCAAGCTTATGCAGAGAAATGACTGGAGTGTGAAATCGACAGAGGGGAGGGGAGGCGATGGATTCTGGATTCATGTTTTTAATTACTCTTGTGATCACCGTTTTCACACCCCAAAACTGCCAACGTTAAATTATGGGAGTTACAAAAACAGAAATTGGTGAAGCTGGTGTCAAATCAGCAAAAAAAAAAATATGCATGGTACACATCCCATGGCCACATTCACACAGCAGCTGGAAGAGCTCCAACAAAATAGCAAACAAAATACAGGGGCTGACAAAATGTATATTTTTATTTTAGAGGAGAGCCACACTATGTTCTCACTGCTCATAGAGAACTGAAAATCATCCCCACAAAAACACACTTCTAACTCTTTGCACACTCTTCTTGACTGATGACATACTACACTGATTTTTGATTGAAAAGAACTGATAATTGTGCTGAAGCTGAAAAATCCCTCAAATCACAATAAAAGATTATGTCCCCTGCATGTTTTCCTAAATGTTTCACACATTAAACTGTACTCACTAATCTGTATTCTTAAATCTTTACGTCACTGTAATCCCTGACTACTTAGTGACACAAGATTAAATTTAAATTTAAGGACGGTGATATTGCATTACAGTCAGAGCAGTGCATCTAGGCCTTACTGTGTAATTCTGATTTCTCCTTTTTCTCCCCAGTTTGAACAGGTTAATTCAGATCCTCAGTGGCCATCGTACCTTATGCCTTTCCTGAACGTCAGCAGACATGTTGAAAGTCAGATAGTAATACAGTAATATAGACTTCGTTGGGAGTGTGGCTCCAGTGTATGAATATGCTGCCCCTCAGGTGTTTTTGGAGGTGCATTATGAGATGGAAGGAGCTCTCGTCCCCCAGAGTACTGCCCAGGGAGCGAGAGAGATTGGTGTTCTCCGGTTCAAGGTCCTCACTCAACACAATCTGCAAGACAGGGTTCAGGAACTCCAGACCTGTCCTGCACACCTCTGTAGGCCTGAGCGCCGGGCTGGCGGACAGCGAGGTGCCGGAGGTCAAGGGCCGGTCTGGGAACGCCCCCCTCCTGCTGCGCCAGGCCCCGTCCCGCCCCCCGCCTCTGCGATGACCGGTGCTCGGCTGCCCTCAGACGCTTTGACAATACTATTGCACTGCTAGCTGTCAACTACAGTAGTGCAATAAAGTCAGAGCAGCTGCCAGCAGCTCGCCTGCCTCTCCCTCCTGCTGCACCTCCCCCCAGGGACCAGCTCGGGCACAATCCCTGGCCAATGCCCTTTTAACATTGCACTGCTTTCTTTACAGGGTCACCAGTAGTACAACATAAAAGGGGCACTGGACAGACAAGACAGTCTGGATGCAGGGGGTCCCCGACGCCCCAGAGTGGACACAGCACCCGGTCCGGCCGGCAGCGGGGAGGAGGCCTCTCTCTCTCGTCACAGCGCAGGGCAGCACGGCCCTGTTCCTGCGTCCTTGAGTGTGAACTGAAAGGTTTTGGAAAGGGACAGAGTGGGGTGGTACTGGTCAGGGCTCTGTCCCAGGGCAGGTGTAGCTGTTGTGTTGCTCCAGGATCACTCCAGCCTGCGCAATGAGCACCGATCACAGGAGCTTCGGACAAATTAATATCGAATTACAAGTTTTTGTCACCGCTACTAAAATTAACTTTGAAAACAAAAAACTCAAGATTTGTTTAAAACCCTGAAATCCATTAAGAAGAAGGTACAGGCTGAACACGCACAGTCTCTTCAATGGAGAGAAGCGTCAGGTAAAGGGAATCGTTCTTTATTCACGCTCCTTATTTATGTCAAC